TCAGGTTAAAATTGCCTGAACTTTGGAAGGGTAAGACTCAATTCAAGTAGTGAAATTAAGCAATCCTAACAAAATCACTGCAAATTGTAAAAAGAAGCACATATTCAAGTTAATATAATTTTTTTTTCCTAAGGGTTTCAAATACTTATCTAAAGTGTTCTAACTTGTATGTCTCACTTGGACTGAAAGTCAATTATAATGACACGATTATAATTGAGTGAGATTTGATACTAGTCTTATCACTCGCTCTATCTCCCTTGAATCAAGAGTAAAATCAAATTATATGCCTATTATCATGTCATGATGGCTACACCATCTTACTTGTTCTTCAACGACAAACACATGAAAAATTCTTCATAGTTAACATCTGCTTTATTTTGTTAATGTTTTCCTTAATGAAATGATAGTATAACTGTTGTCTCAAATTAGCAAAACTATTTCAACTCGACAAAATCTTAAAAAGTTTTTTTATTTTTTGAGAAACATCTGTCAACTTATTTATTTATGTCCAAGATTTTTGTTGAACACTAAGCTTATTACATTATTTCATTCATTATGAACATTATAGCTGTAACAAAAATATAACACTAACTTCAACAAGGAGACAAAAAAAATCACTTACAAATTTAAAGAAATGATTTTTTTTTTCTTCTTCTTCAAAAAAGAAAAAAATTACAGAATAACGAAGCTTGAGATATCAAAATAATCTCCAATTCATGAGAAGAGGAGGGATAACACAGTTCCCCTCAATAATTGATAACCTACTTCTTATTTTGACCCCCAATTAATGAACTAAAGTAAAAGGACACTTTTGTAATGTGGTACCGCTCACCTACCACATCTCACCTACCGTTCACCTACCGCTCTTGCTTCTATCTCTTGCTTCTATAAATAGAGATGGTGTGAGGTTTAGAAGAGCAAGAGAAGAAATCTTAAGGGTGTGAGACTTAGGAGAGAAAAAGGGAAGAGATCTTAAGCTACCATGAAGGAGGAGAGAATAGCTAGAGAGTTAGAGATATAGAGTTAGAGGAGGAGAGCATCTTGAGGCCTTGTATCAAGGTGTCGCTTGAGAGGGAGGCCATATAAGGAAGATGAGGGCTCATCTCTTTGTATAAGCTATGTATTCTCCATTTCTTTTGCCTTAGTGAAATATTTGATTGATTCCCTCCCGTGGACGTAGATCCAGTTGGATCGAACCACGTAAACGATCTGTGTTTGCTTGTGTTCTTTTTCGTCTCATTTCTATGCCAGGAAGTACATATCTCACAACAATTGGCGCCGTCTGTGGGAAGATCCATACTTCTTGGCTAGAGGTCTCCACGTAAAGGTGTTCGCGGCCAGCGACGAAGAAGAGGAGTTCGGCATTCATGAACAGAGGAGCAAGCGGATCGTGTCGCAGGTAGTCGAATCTCGACAGATTCGGTGAGCAGTAAAAGCTTTGATCGACTGGATTCACACCGCAGGTGGTGCGGTTTGGGGAGAAGGAGGAACAATCATCGAGTGAGGGCCGAAAATTTGTGACAGGGCTGCCAGCACAGGATTTCGGTCTTGCGAGCAGCTCGGCCAAAGGGAAGAGGTGGAGATCGCGCAGAGAAGGGTTCGGGGAGTTCCCTGTTTGGGAGTTCGCGAAGCAGGAGGACCTGAGCAGTTTGGCGAGGCGTGACGGCTCTGGAGAGGCAGTTATTCTCATGCGAGACGCAGAGGAGTGCCTGCGGAAAGGAGGCGCAAGCACAGAACAGGAAGTTTTCTCCGGTGAACAGGTGTGATCTCTGTCATAAGGGATCGGAGCTCTCCGGTTCGGTTGACGAAGGCAGTGAAGTTCACGGGGAGAAGCAGGTAAAATTCATTTGGAAGAAATCCTAGCCACGACAATGAGTTCCGTCAAATTCGACATTGAGAAATTCAATGGGAAGAACGACTTCGGCCTATGGAGAGTAAAGATGAGAGCTCTATTGGTTCAACAGGGTGTTGCAGAAGCCTTGCAAGGGTCG